CGCTAAGCTGACGCGGCGCCGCCCTCCAGCTGGGGAGACCGGCGGGCTCCCCACTGTCAGCCTTGCTCAGGTTCCAGGGGACAGGCCTGCTCTGTGCCCCTCTCCCAGATGCCCGTCTGACCGCCAGTGTCTGTGCCAGGTCAGGGCAGTGCAGCAGCCCGTCGGGCTAAGGACCCTGGTGGGACGGCCCCACCGGCCTTCCGGTCCCAGGGAGAACAGCACCGAGTGAGTGAAGACTGCGGTGTGGCTTCTCGAACACCTTATCCCTGTTTTTACAGAAGGGAGACCACCCTGAAAGTCTGGCTGTAGTCAGCAGGTCTGTCCCCCGCCCCGGCCAGGTGTCGGCTTCCGGGAACGCGGGTTGTCCTGGCCTCGGGCCCCTGAGCCCTTCCATCTCCCCCAGGTCAGCTCCACCTCCCCGAGGAAGGGATGTGGTCCTTGTCCCCTCCCTCCTCTGCCAGCCCCCTGCCCCAGGGCTGTACTCCAAGTCTCCCCCGACAACCACCTCTGCCACATCCTCGGTCACTGTCCGAGCTGGTGACCCACCTTACCCCCACACCACAGCCCCTCTGTGAACCCATGTAGACAGGCTCCCCATGGCTCTCCTGGAAGCCCTCCCTTGGCCCCACACCCGGCATCTCCTCTTCTGTCCCGGAACCTGCACCCCACTGCCAATCTACAGGGGCCCCCAGCCTCCTGGGGTCACACCTACTGCGACCCTCACTGGAGCTCAGGGAGAACTTGGGGTATAAGGTGAGATGCCCCTGGACAGCACTGGGCCAAACACCCCGTGTCCCAGGAGGCAGTCTGCTCCCACCGCTGGCCCAGAGGCTGCAGATGGGGCGGTGTCCCCCGCCCCGCATCACCCTGAGGGGCTCTCGCTCAGGTTACGGGAGCCTGTCCCCCATTCACATACAAGGACCCTCTGAAGGCCCCCTGCTGCAGCTGTGCTGTGGGCAGCCACGGACAGAGCCCTGGTCTGCGACGGGATGTGCCCAGGGCACGCCGCCGGGCCGCAGAGCCGGCCAAGGTGCTCCCAAAGAGGCTCCTCCCACTCGAACCCTAGGTCCCCCGGTGACCACGTGCTCACATAGAGGGACGCTGCCACCACCCTCCACACCTACCCGACCCCTCCCAGGGGCATCCTGGGTCCCTACCCCTCCTTTCGGGAGAGGCCAGCAAGCCCCCAGTCCGGACCCTGGACAGGGCACCAGCTGTGACGGCAGTGAGAGCCGGCCCAGAGCAGAGACCTCCAGCCTGGACCCTGGTCTGGCCTTCTGGTCCACTAGGACCCTGCACTCTGCCAAGGCCACCCGATGCCAGCCTCTTGCCCCAGCCCAGGAACTGGCTCCCACAGGCCCGGAGGACAGGCAGACACCCCGTCTCCAGTCTGAGGCCTCCTGCCCAGCACAACAGGCCCAGAGGACAGAGGGCCACATACACGTATGTAGACACATGCAGACACACACACACCACGCGCTGCGTGTGCATACACCTCACTCACAATGACCCACCCATGTACACGCACCTCACACACACACATGCTGGTAAAAGAAAAGCCCACCGGCTCCGCAGGGAGCACCGGCCAGGTCCTCCTGAACACGAGGGCGCCCACGTGTGGGAGCCGTGTCAAGGGGCCGAAGGAGAAGGGGTGCAGGGGAAGCCTGGGGAGCAACCGTGGCCCGCCTGCCTGAGTGCTTTTCCAAACCTCTGGGCCCTGGCGGGTGACTGCTCGGTCCCTCCTTGGAGACCTGGCAGAGGGCAGCTGCTGGCACCGTCTAAGCCCACAGGTGGCCCTCCCCTGGCACCACCACACCCTGGACACGTCTACGCCCTCTGCTGTCCCTGTCCCCCACCCTGACTTCCCTGGGTTTGCCAACAGTGATCTGAAAGCGCCAGCCGTCCAGGGCCCCGTGCAGTGAGCTGTCCCCAGAGCCGTCATCTGGGTCCGCCCCGGTGCAAGACACGGACGACGGAACTGACCGACTGCGAACGAGCGGCCTGTGCCGCCTCCCGTGACGTTAAACACAAAGCTACCGTTGAGATTGCGGATGAGCCTGGCCTCCTTCTCTCCGTCCTCGTCCAGCCCTTCGACCTTCAGTTTCTTCCAGCCGAGCTCGTCCCGCTCCTGCATCTTCAGGTCGGCGTGGAGCTC